TTCACTGATTTATGCGTCTTAATGAATTTATTCCAAATTTCTTTATTTTCAGGACTTGCTTTTTGTTCTTCATTTTCTTTTTTTTTATTAGGGAAATAAAAATAATAATTGAGCATCAGCAGCTGTCAAGAAAAAAAAGTACAGAAAAACAAACAATGATCAAAGTGGAATAAAATTAAAGTAGAGATGGGAGACTTCCTGATGAGCAGAGAGAAACTGTCAAAGAGGAACTGAAGAGTCGATGATGAGCTCCTGAAAATACTCAGGAGATACAGGATCCTGTTGTTTAATGACAGAATAAACTGAATAATGCGTATTTATGAAACACAAAAAAAGCTAAAACTGTAGGTGGCTCTTTTGTTTACATCTTATATATACTGTCTTTAAAGAACAGATTTATTTTTTTTATAGTTTCACAACACAGCAGCTTGTGTAGAAACCCTCCATCTCTTTGGTTGATAAATGTCATCAGACCTTTGTGAAAGCTGTCTGTGGAAGATGATTGTTCCTGTGCTCAGGGTTTGGTTCAGTGAGGTGACTGTGCGGCAGCCTGATTGTTTCATGTCGTGCAGCTGTCTGTGTCGTCCTGCAGGGGGAGCTGTTGAGCCCCTGTCGCTGTGATGGCTCTGTCCGCTGCACCCACCAGTCCTGCCTCATCCGCTGGATCAGTGAGAGGGGCTCCTGGAGCTGTGAGCTCTGCTACTTCAAGTACCAGGTGTTGGCCATCAGCACCAAGAACCCTCTGCAGGTACAAGGCAGATCCATGAAGATTTACAGGTTTTAGGGCAAAAAGCTTTGCTTTGCTATTTGTTTTGCACATATGCTCCCCCCCTCCCCCCAAAAGTTTACACATGTTTCTATTTTAGCCATTCAAATAGCAAAATATTCAAGTCATGCAGGAGATGGATGCTATGACTTTTTTTGTAACTTATGTTTTTCAGAATGTAGAAATACACCAAGATCTCTATCTCCAAAAATACAGTTCTTTTATTATATTATATTTAAATGTGCTTCAGAGTGTTGGCTTTACTTTTGTATTTTTCTGCTGATTTTTGTTTTTATCTGCTGTTCTGCTACTTTTAGTGTTATGATTCTTCTGGTTTTTAGTTAGTGATTTGCTTCTTTTAGATAAGGTTTAGCTGTTTTTAGCTTTTAGTGTCTTGCCCCTTTAAGCTATTGTTCTGCTTCTTTTGTAACAAGTGTTCTACGTTTTTAGCTTTAACAACTCACTTGCAACTTTAGCTTTTAGCTAAAAAAATGCTACTTTTTGCTATTGTTTGATAATTTAATTTTATTTATTTTTCAGGCATTTACTGTTAACTTTTAGTAGTGCTGCTTCCTGTAGGCTATCATACTTTCAGCTAGTGTTTTGCACCTTACTTAGCTTTTAGCCAGCACTTATTTATTACCTGACATTTTACTACTTTTAGCTTTTAGTTGCTACTTTTTATTTAATCTATAATTTCTCTTTATGAGATTGATAAAGTATCATTCATCATTCATAATATCAAGACTCAAGTTTATTCAAGAATTTCATCTGCAAGGAAATTCTTGAAGTCAGCGCTCTTTAAGACTGTACAAAAACTACAGATGTTTATATTAGTATTAAACAAGTAATGCATTAAAACAGGAGATTTAACAGAACAGTAGGACTTTATTATACACCTGTGTGCGTTATCTTCTTTAAAACAAAATGTGATCAAATCATTCCAGTCTTAAAACCTGGAACTAATGTGTAAAGTAAAAAGTGTGTGTGTGTGTGTGTGTGTGTGTGTGTGTGTGTGTGTGTGTGTGTGTGTGTGTGTGTGTGTGTGTGTGT